CCCCAAAACCCCAAAACCCCAAAACCCCTTTTAACCTTCTCCTACCCTCAAAATTCCCCAAAAGTGTATAAATTTTCATATTTTTTGTCTCCAAAAAGTGAGCTAGCTAAGTTTACTCTTGTAGACCTCTCTGCCCAATCCTACAGTACCTAAACAACCATTGCCATATCCCAGTTACTCTAAGACAAATCAAAAAGGGACACTCCTTGGCAAACCTCTCAACATAAATATAAAATCCCGTTTTGTTCAATAAAATTTCATGGCACTGGCTCGCCTAGCCTGTTCCTCTTCTGAAGATGAAATTCAGAAGCCAATCTAAGCTTCATGAAATATCTGAAGAAAATTGGTGCACAAGATCACAGTTTTTTACCAGTGGGGCCTTTTAAATTTTGGAGATGGGGCTGTTGTAGTGGAAATTATTGAACCTTATTCATTAAAGAGATCGGTCAACTGAGTATCGACTAACATGAGATTTCCTTTGTTCTTAACAACAGCACCTCTACATTTGATGTTGAATTTGGTCAATATGTCCATGTAGCTACAGATTCTTTGATGTGCCTCATCATCGTTGTATAGATTTACAGGCTCTACGCTGCTAAAGAAGCTGCCGATGTTGAACTCTAAATTTTAGGATGGAAAATTACCTTTATGGCTATAGAGATACAAGGGATAAGCAAACTGGTTGTTCATTGTTCTTTCATCCTTGATTAAGAACTTAATAGCATAGATCAATTCTAGCTCTTGGTCTTTACACTTGGGACAAGGATTGTAGATCTTACGTCTTTTGTCGTAGTCAGGAACTTTTTCCAGAGAATATCTATTAAGTAAATTAAAAAGCCTACGTCATTTTGCAAGAGGTTCATAATCCTTGAACAAATTCTTTAATGTTCTGAGGGAAATAAGCAAGGACATCAAACTCCAAGAGGTATCTTGGCCCGAGCTTATCTCCAGGATCTTCAGAATCAAAGGTTCTATCATAAACATTCTTCTTATTCCTCTTCGACTCATTCTGAATAGTGTTTTCTTTTGACGAAATTCCCGCTTTAGATTCTTCTTTTGGAAAAAACAAATCAAGGAGGGAGCTTACTTCCAAGTGGCTCCAAGGGTTAATTTCATTATTTGTTACAAATAATGGCTTCAGAGGTTCCTCTTTATCTCTGATCACAACGTCCAAACCTGTATCTTGTATTTTCTTGGCCAAGTTCTTGACGATAAGAGAATCCTCCATAAATTTCATGATATTAGTATGAGGTTGGGATTCAAGTACGTTCTCTTTGTCAATAATAGAACCCTTGGCTGATTTGATTCTAATAATATCATCCTTTCTGAGTTCTGGGTACTTGATTCTATCAACTTTCATCTAAGGGTTAGCCAGGAATTCTTACCTTCCATAGAATGTTGTTCTTATCCTTAAGCCTAACACTATATGTCTCATTTCCAGAGTTTTCTTCTTCCTCGTGCTCGTAAACTTTCATGACTTTACAAAGAAGGTTCTTCTCTTTTGATTCACACTTGATGTTGCTCAGCAAGTTCTCAGGGATAGTGGATTTTGCGAAGAATTCTGAGCACCAATTACGCATGGAATTGACCTTATTTCTCCTCATTTTCTGTGAAGTTAAAGATCTTTCCAGAATATTTATAAGGCATATAGAACCTCTTGATATTGAGAAGAGGGTTTTGTTGGGTCTCATCCTCCCTCTCTTCATCAAATTCCAGGTCGTCTAATTGAATCAACTCGTTCTTAGTCTTGTCTTCATTCTCAGTATTTTCTGTGCTGAAGAGGCACCAATTAGATCTCTCATCAACAAGGTATCTGACTTCGCCTGTATCAGTGACCTTTTGGGTTGCTTTTTGAATACGAAGAATATCTCCGATCTTCCTAGTGACAGGCATGTCTTCCATTCTGTCTCCGATCACCACTACAGTTGCGAATTTTGGACTGTTCCTTCTCGCGCCTTCTTTGTAGAGGGAACTATCAATTACCTTAATACCGCAAACAAATTTTGAAGAATCTTGCATTTCTACAAACTATCGTTAAGAACTTACCGCGAAGGTGTTTTAAATTATACGGGTAATTTGAATCAATGACCACTGTGTACATGTTAATATCATGATCAGAATGCTCATCTTGGGACTCTGAATCACTTTGGGTAGTTTTACCCCTCTTAAACTTCCTAAACTCCATGGCCACAATCCTTACCTCTTACTACAGATCTGTCTGTACAAAATCTTGACTGGCTCCTTTCCTTCCTCACCATCTGGTTGGTTTCCCCCAAAATTACGAAAATTGCTCATGACTAGCGCTTTTTTCAAAAATATAATATTTAAGAGGGGTTTTGGGGTTTTGGGGTTTTGGGG